TCACCTAGTACATGGAACCTGATAATTGGACAACGTAAATGGGTTCTCCATGCCCTTACTATGGCTAAAAGACTGATATTGCCGCACTGGAAAGATAAATCTATGGCCCCATTCACTCAATGGATTGAAGACCTGATTGCACTTGCTACTTATTAGCAGATTGCCTGTAGACGTAGACTTGTATGGACAAGTAAAATGAAATATGGGACTCATTTATACAAAATACAGTTGGTTAAAAAAACAGTCATATAAATGCATTAGAAATATATATATTCTTGAATAATATTTACATTAGGTAAGTATATATAGAATTGTAACTGTTCACTGTTATAATAACATATACTATTTTTTCCCTTTGTCATATTTCTTTCACTTTTTTGTAAAGTACTTTTTATGTTTTTTTTCTCTTTGACAATGTATGTATCTCCATTAATATCATCATTGCGTTTTGTTCTTTTTCTTTTTTGTTAGTAATTAAAAAGCTATAAAAAATAAATATAAAAAAATGGCTGTAGATCACTGCCACTCTCCATCTAAGGGCAAACAATATAATAGATAAAATGCATATCATGCATCTACCCTCTTGTTTGCTTTATTTATTCAAGAGTAAGTGGATTTTATTTATATTACTAGTTTTTATATATGTGTTATATTTATATCCTCCCTTTCTTACAGATGCTCAAGACAGCATTCATAGCACTTCCTCCTCTAATTTTCTCTCACTGCTTCTCACTGTGAAGTACCTCAGGCCAAAACTCACCCAGTGAACTTCCATGTCTGAAGATGTTCAGATCTTCCTAATCCTAATCCAGGACCTTAGCCTGTACACTTTACTGGATTTCATTTCATTTCATATCATCCAAGAATTCAAGTGGCTTACCTAATACCCCCTCTTAATATTTTCCCACAACAACAAGCCTGTTGACTAGCCCAAATTCATCAAGAAGTAAACAAAAATGGTATCCTTACAGATTGTGTGCCAGATGTCTCACTCCTTCTCTAGCATTTTGTAATCTCAGAAGCAAAAGACCCAAAAGACTAGATAATATAGTCACCAGTTTAATAACACTGAAGTATGTCACCATCAAAATTACAGCTAATTGTTCAGTATTGGCCTTCTTGATACTGGTCTCTTTCAATGTATGGCTACATTGGGTAATGCTACAATGAGTAATTCTATTGCTTGTTATTTAAGCAATAATAATTTTGAGAGCAATAAAAACATTTGAACACACCAAAAAGGTTGTTTCCCAATAGAATGTTTGACTTACCAATTGCATGTAGCTTTTGCTTCCTTTCATTTTCAGAGTTGTCTCTTTGCTCTTGAGGTTCCTCATTTTCACTATCAGTTTCCACACCAGTTAAGTTGAGCATGTGTGGATGCCCTGGAAAAGTTCCAAAAGCTTCCCATCAATTATGCAATCAGGCAAGAACTCTGAACTTTTCCTTTGTTTTGTTCTAAAATAGTTCCAACTCGATATGATATTCAACGTTCCACATTATTCCAAACATACTATTACCAAATCTCAAATCCTCAGATTTGATACTCAAACTAGTAAAGTTATATGCTTTTCCAATTCCACTACTCCAAAAACTACTTCAAGATGTAGAAGGAAATCTCAAAAACTGAGAAATTACTGAACTATTCTAGCTTTCTAAATGATTTCCCCTCCCACATGCCATGCACTGCTTTGGAGGATTGAAGCTTTCAAAGCAGACTTTGAAAGAGCAGAAATCTGCTTGATGCAATGTAGATTTCATCCAGAGTGTCAGATCTAAAGGAGAAATATGTCTGTTCTGAGGTTACCAAAAAATGTTCCATAATCATTTAATCTACCTTTCCTCAAGACAGCTTGTCATGATGGTGGAAAAAATGAATTAAGCACAATAGAATTTTAAAAACAGACCAAGGAGCATTGGTTAGAAAGAGTAACTGAAAGTGTAGCAGAAACAACAAGAAAATAGATATACTGTGGTTTCCTTTAAAAGCCAGTAGAGGACAAATCCTGTAGACTTCTAGAATAAAACTTAGTCATCCGTTTTTCACTATGAAGTACACCAAAAATATAGCTAATGTTATCCTTTGGTTGCAATTATTGCCATCTACTTGGGGAGATAGGCATAGCAACACCTGTAAAAATAAAGGGTAAGTGTAAGAGTGAAAATGTGATTTTTCCTTCCCAGCATCTTTCTTGCCTCAACTGGTAAGCCTTTAAGGATTTAAAAATATCTTCCATAGACAAGCTACATGTTAATTTTTGAGCCTTCAGGAACAAACATATATCCAAGGGAACCAGTCTGACTGATTCTTATAATCCAAGTGGCTATATTATTTTGCTGTCACAATGTATGGAAGCTGCAGTCTCCCTACCTCAGAAAAGGACCAAGTCTAACCAGTTCTGCTGGCTTAACCAGCCTTGTAAGTAAGTGGGACAGTAGAAATCAGTTCAAAATATCATGGTGCTCATTAAGCAATCCTGAGCATTTTGCCTTAACTAGAAAAGAATGCAGATATAGTGAAGGAACTTTACCTCTATCAAACTCTCTTTCTGGAGATAAAGTAGCATACTGTGGTTTCTTTCGAAGCAATGTCAGATGTACAACTGGTCCTGTCTTGCGTAATGCTTCCACAACTTCTTGGTTGGTATAATTTTGAATATTAATTCTATTAACCTAAAGTATACAAAGTTACACAATTCTTTTGAAAATGATAATCCACAACACAAATTAGGTTTCTTGAATGAGATAATCATTTATCTTATGCAATTATGACTAATTATTGCACAAACTTTGCTCTCTCACCTTATATAAAATCATGCATGCATAGGTAATGTGGGAAAAAACTTTTCTCCCTCTCTTGTAAGGTTAGAACTTGAGATGGTTGAGATGGTCCACTGAAACTAAATGCAGGGTGAATCAGATATAGATATAGATTCCAGCACATTATTATCAATAAAGGTAATAATAATAATTTATTAAATTTATATGCCGCCCGACTTCCAGTGACTTTGGGTGGTTTACAGATTGTTTAAAACATTAAAAACAAGAAACAAAAAGAAGAGTAAAGATGGCAGGATGACAAAACCAGATGGAAACAAAGGAAAACACCCCAGGTTAAAAGGAGGTCATTCTTGCCAAAGGCCTGGGCAAAGAGCCAGGTCTTCAAGCCCCTTTGAAACACCAGCAGGTTGGGGGCTCTTCAGATCTTGGGTGCAACCTCATCCCAGAGGGCAGGTGCTCCTTCAGAGAAGGTACGCTTCTGGAGTCCTGAGCATTGCTTAATTTAAGAAACCTGGAATGTGCCGACCCTGCAAGATTGGATCAGCCGGGCAGATACTATGGAAGACAGGCAGTCCCTTAAATAACCAGGCCCTATGCCATTAATTAAGCTATGCCACTTGCTGCCACAGTTAGGGTAATAGCAGCAAATCTGGATCATTTTAAAAGAGGACTGGACATGGTCATGGAGGTTCAGACTATCAATGGCTACTAATAGTCATGGTCGCTTAGTCCTTCCTGAATCACAGACAGCATGCCTTGAATACCTGTTGCTGGCAATAGTGGAAGGAAACTACTGTCCCCCATTCCAGACTTGTCAACTTCCCAAAGTATCAGTTGGGGACACAGAATGCTGGTCTAGATGGGCGTAGGACTTGGTACAGCACATATCTTATGTTTTTATACCACACAATTCTGTTATCCCAGGTTCAGGTATTCATGGACTGATTCCCCCCTCCCCCAAAAAAGAAAAGCAAAGGAAAACAAGAGAGCCCCTTTCTATGAATGCAAGTTTACATTCTATTTATGAAGGAGAAACCAGGGCCTTGGCCATTATTATCTACTGCACAGCATATTACACTTTCCCGATAAGAGACCTTATGGTCACCCTTTATACTTCTATACGTATTAGGAGTTTCCATCTCAACTTCTCTTCTGTGATGCAGTGCAACATGAATGGAGATTCTTGCATGGCAGAATGCATTCTAATGAGTGATTCTCCCAGTAAAGAATTGGACCACGTTTATAGTGTATCATGGTCCTATAGTTTTAATTCATTATTGCAAAGACTCAATTATAACAGAAACCTAATTAATTCAACTCCTCCATCCTCCAAATTGCATCACCAGAATTCAGCAGAACACAAAATAGGAACCGATGTAATCAAGTAAGAAGTTGATTGCTCCACCCTCTCAGGAGATAAGTAAGACATTTCATTCCCTTTATAGCCAGGAACTGGACTAGATGAAACAACACACAAAGGATGTATGGTTATCTTTTAATACTCACCTCTCTTCTCAGCCTTTCTTACAAAGCGACATTATTTTGGGCAGGAAGAAAAAAAACTAGCCTAAAAAAGTAGGCTAGAAATAGTGTTTTCTAGGAAGAATCTGTCTCATTTCCTCATTAAGTTTGGAAATGTCATACAAGCTATTATGGACAATTAATTTCCATGAACAGAATGTCTCCCCAAAAGCTGGTGCACCAGTTTTCAGCAAGACTTGCTCTCCACAGAAATATTCTGTGTGTCAAAAAAAATAAATGGAAGACTGCTACGTTTTAATCTTAGGTACCGCAGATAATTCAGGTAGAGGTAAAAAAATGTTACTTTCTTGTATTGAAGGCAGTTGCAGACAGTTGCTTCTTATCATTCCAGCAAGTATATTCAGGTACATTAATATGTTGAATAAATTAGCAATATTCATTACTTTCCCTAAGTACAGGTAGCCCCTGGGTTAAGAACAACCCATAGTTAAGAACAGAGCCTGTCGTAGCAAAATTTGAATTAAATACACAATGATTTGAATTAAATATACAATGGTTCGAGTTATTACACAATTCTTCTTATTCAATATTATACAATAATACTGTTCCAGCTTACATACAAATTTGACTTAAGGACAGACCTTAGGAATGGAAATTATTCTTAAACTGGGGACTACCTGTATTTACTATAGACCATGGCATCTGGCCCCATCAATTCCTGGCAAATAGAAGGGGTAGAAATGGAAGCAGTAACA